ATTTACGTTGGTTGTTTTGAGGTCCGACGTCTAATGGGTGACGTTAAAAACCAATTTTGCACTAGTGAATGGTGCAAAATAACATGGCATGCATCATGAAAGTTTCAAAAGCAAAGGCATCAAATATTTCAACCTCATCACCCCCCACAACTTCAAGTCTTCAACTAGTGGCCTGAGATAAACATTTATGTCATTTCCAAGTTGCTTTGGACTAGATATAAACATTGACAACATCATGTACTTTCTTTTCATGCACAATCGAGGAAATAAGTTTGGAAATTATCAGTATAACAGGCCAACAACTGTGATTGGTACTTAAATTACCAAATGGGTTCATTCCATCAGTAGCTAAACCAAACCTAAGATTTCTACATTCTTGACAAAATTGGGAGAATTCTTGATCAATATTTTTCCATTGCTTTGAATCAGCTGGATGACGAAGCAACTCATCAGTTGTTCTCTCATCTACATGTCATCTTAGGTTTTTAGTGTCTTTAGGATTCACGAACAAACGCTTAAGTCTGGCCACGAGTGTGACCACTATCTTCACTTTTTCTTGACTTGTATCATGATAACCCACATTTTGGACACTTTGTCAAAACTTCGTACTCATTCCTATATAATATGCAATCATTCAGACATGCATGTATCCGTTTATACTTCATACCCATCGGACAAAGAATTTTTTTTGCATCATAATTACGAGTGAGTAATGTATTTCCATCTGGCAGCATTTCATTCAACAACGACAACAATTATGTAAAACTCTTATCAGTCCATCGATTGCTCGCCTTTAAATTTATAAGCCTTAACACTGCTGACAACCGTGTGAACTTAGTTGAACCCATATACAAAGAAGTCTTTGCATCAATGGACATCATTTCATAAACATGCGCTTGAGCAAAATCTTCTACACCAACATCGCGGATCATGTCCTCTAAGTTGTCTTCTTCCGGTCGATCTTCCATATTCATGGTGGAATCATATACATTTTCAGTTGGAGAGACAGTTGGAAAGTCTATTAATTCGCCGTGCCATATCCATGTTGTATAACTTCGTACGAAACCATCACAAAAGATGTTCCCTAATATCGGTTGCGTTCAACTTCCTCCCATTCAAACAATTGACATAGGGATATCTAAATTTGACTTCATCATCACCCCTTTTACTCGCACTACGTTGTGCAAACTGTATAAATTCTTCTACCCCTGTCTCGTACTCGATACTAATTTGTGGTGAATTAGTCCATTGTTGATCCATATGCATATTTACTGAAATTGTTTACACAATTTCAATAATCTTGAATGATTAGTTTGATCTATTTTGTATTCAAGGTGTGACACTATCCCATTCAAGAAGATTCACTTTTTTTAGTTTATTAAACATATAAATTTTAAACAATATATCTAAAATTTCACAAAATTTTTCCAACATTTCGCATTGGTCTTCAGGTTGCACGAAATGAAAGTGATTATAAATCACAATCAAATATGCAACCGAAGATCAATACAAAACACAACTGCAAAATTTCATGAAATTTAAGACATGTATATTAAAATTCATATGTATTAATAAACTATGAAAAAGTTATTACTCTTCTTAAACTGTACAACCGGACAATTCAAAATTCAATACTTGTAAATTATTATTACCATCTCCTCTCTATTCATTTGTAAAAAGTACATTTCTTCAAAAAATCTGGAGATAGTAAATAATTTTTGTATTGAATCTCAAACGAGAAACTAAGGTTAATTCAAAACAACAATATATTCAACCAAACAAATAATTACATATGCAACCTATAATATATTCAAGCAAACAAATAATTACATGTTCATATTAAAAGGAAAATTTTAAGAATAGAAACCTGGGAGCATGAAAGCCGATCAACTATAGAGAATATCCGCGTTTAAGAAGCCGGTCAACTATACAATCTCTAGACAAAAACAAACAACACATTAATTACTATCATGATTCCTAAAGTTTATTTCATCACCAAATCAACCAATTTAATATAAACCATCCAAAATCATATTTCCTAATTTCTATATCCCTAATTGAAAAATCTCAACCAACTTACATTATCAATCAATTGACATTATCAACCAATTTAACACAAACAAACCAAAATTCTATTATCCCAATTTCTATATCCCTAATTCAAAAATATACACTAATTTACATTATAAATAAATTTACATTATCAACAAATTTAACACAAACAATTCAAATTTTTATTCCCCTAAATTTGTAAATCATTAATTTGTATGGCCAAAACCCCCTCTGCTCATGGATTCTCATCACCAAATAACAATTATATCAATCTCAAACTGGTTTACTATCAAAGCACATATTAAAATGGACAAAAAATGGTGTCGGCGAAGAGAACTTACCACTTGAAGAGAATAGAAACAGTGGCAACAAGAACAGCCGATGGCGACAACATCAACGACTGACGGAGACGACGACGACGCTGGAGGTAGCGAAAGTGAGAATGGAGGAGGCTCAATTGCGAGAGGGAGAAGTGGAACAATAGGTCCGCGAGGAAGAAGAAAATTGTTTTCGCGTTGTGCGTTTCTGCAAGTAAATAAACGATATTGCCTCAGTTGTATACTTAACCGAGGTAATAACACCATATCGATGCCTATTCCTTTTAGAAAATAACAAATTTGAAATTATACCTCACACTATAGGCCTCAGTTCACGGTAAAACTGAGGCTGAAAGACCATATCACATCGGTTGAGAAGAACCGAGGCAGTATCAGTAGGTGTTTGGCAGGACATACTGCCTCAGTTCCCCTCACAATCGAGGCAGTAGCCCTGTTTCAGAAAACGTGTAAGATGTAAAGTTTGACTTGCAGAAAAGGCAGGATATTATGCCTCGGTTCCCCTAACAATTGAGGTAGTATCTATGTTTCTGAAAACATGTCAGATGTGAAGTTTGACTTGCAGGTTGATTGTGCAGGGTATTATACCTCGGTTTCCTACATAACCGAGACAGTAGTGCTATTATGCCTCGATTCTAAGCACAACCGAAGCATATAACTTCGTCTTATTTACGGACTTGCCACCGCATTTTTATATGCTTTGGAACCAAAGCGTATTTGGCGCGTTAAAAAAGTGTTTTTTTAGGCTTAATACCTCTTTTGGTCCCTCGAAAGAGGGGTTGTGTTCAAAATGGTCCTACCTTTTTAAAAAGTAACAAATGATTCCAACGTTTGAAAAAACGGGTCAAGTTAATCCTTTTTGCTAATGATGTCAAAATTTTAACGGTGCAAGTGCTCCCCTGGACAAAACATGATGAGGTGTCCAATTCTAATGATTGTGTGGCACTATGAGGGTGAATGAGGTGTAAAATAAAAAATTCAATAATCTTTTAAAGGGAAATAAATAATTATTAAAAAATTAAATAATTACTAAAAAATATTGAATTGGGCGAAGATTCCTTTTAAATTATAATTAAAAAATTTATGAAGAGTTAGGGTTTCATTAACCACTATAAATAACAATTTCTAATTAGCTCTAATCTTAATAGGTAATTTAATTAAAATCACTTTAACTCTAATTAAATTTCTAAAAGCTGATTCACTATCAGAAACCTAATCAAGAACTTGTCTTCTTCTTCCCAATTTTTTTTGTTTATTTCACGCTAATAACCTAACCCCGAGTTCTTTTTTCTCGCAGAAAACTCTACTCTGAGAGTTATCCTTGTCTCGAGCAAGGCAGAAGCCTTGTGGCGGCAAAGACGACAAAGATGCGGGAGCGCGACGCAGGCGGCGTTTTTGTCTTCTATGGTGGCTGGCGGTGTGTTCGCGAAGGACCGCGTGAGGAGATCATGTCGAAGAAGGTCGTGATGGCTCGCGGTGGACGATGTGGCAAGTACTATGGAGGAATCGCGATGCCCTTCGTGGCGCAAGGAAAACCCTTTTTATCTTCTTCTCTGTTTTGGATTGTTTCGCAGGGAAGCCCAGACATGACCTCTTCACGGCAGAGGCGAGTTGTTTCTTCGCAGAGGCGGGTTGTTTCTTGACCACTTTTTTCTGACACGAAAATTGAACTCCTCCATTTCTCAAATAAATGAAATTTTTTGAAAGATTTGTGGTATTTCAAAATTAGGAGGATGATTGAAGATCTTGTGAAAAGTAACGCCACACGTGGATTAATAATTAATAATCTTCTAAAGAAATGAAATTAATATTACAGAAATGAACAACTCATAAATGCATGAGGGATTTTTGTTTGAAATGCAAAATAGAGAATCTAACTTCAGAAGACAAAGAAGCATATTGAGTGGAGAGTTGTTTACTCTTGAATCCGAATAGTCTCAAAACCCCTTTGAATGGAAGTCTTAACAACATCCAATCTATTTTTTTTGTCACAATTTTAACCTCACTGCCACGCAACTGTCATGCAATAAGATAAACTTGAGACGTCATTAAGTTTTGTCCAGAGGACAGCTGCACCGTTTAATTTTTGACACGGTTAGCAAAAAGATTAACTTGACCCATTTTTTTCAAAAGTTGGGATCATTTGTTACTTTTTAAACTCTTTCGAGGGACCAAAAGAGATATTAAATCTTTTTTTTACTAGTGGTAGATTGCTGAAGCAAATTTATCACTAGTATTGTTGTTCCGAAAGTCGCCACTTTTTTTATCTTTAGAATATTGTGAAAATTTTGATTTTTTTTTATTTTTGTTTAATGTCAAAATTATTGCTAAAGTTGTTCTTGTAACATGTATCAGCTGTGTGAATATTCCTGTTACAGTAAGTGAAAATATTTTTGTTCGACATATTTCTTGAACTTTTATTTTCATAATTTGAGAACATTACCATTTTTTCCACAACAAATGTAAATTGTAATACTACTATAGCGTTATGGATTCTGATCCATCCATTCCTTTGACACAGATAAAGTAGACAATTTAACTGTTGATAATTTCATTTTTATCACACTAATATTTTATCATAAATATTTTTTTGTAGTGAATTCAAATAAACATTTATATAATAAAAACCTCCACTACCAAAACTGTGACCAAAAATACAATGAATTCCATATTTATGATTCTACTTGACTGAAAGGCTTTATTGGATAGTGCTGAGGGTGATGGGTTGAAAGTGGGTTCCTCAACATTTATTGCTATTTTCATTCCCTCAAAGCAAAAACCTCTTCCACAAAGAAAATAATATGTTCTTGCTTCTAAAAGTTGAACAACATCTCTCCCTCCTTTTGTGATATTTTGTATGAAATTTGTATCAATACAATTCTCATAATTTGTTTTGTTCACTTCCAAAACATTGTAGAGACTCTTATCAAAACCAAAATCTGTATATACAAAGAAAATAGGTTAATAAAAACATTATATGTCCATAAAATATTTAATGTACAGATGTAAGAATAATCATAACAATAAACTTTTAACGCATCCTTTAAAACACGTTTAGGCAATCTATATTTTTAACTTAAAAATTAATCAAATTTTATATTTGATGGATATTACAATCTTTGGGATCTTTCATCTTTTGTAGATTTTAATATTTAATTAATAATAAACCTAATTTTAACTAAATTTAATACATTTCTCAAGATTAACTGTTTGAAATGAACTATTTCAATTGATTGATTAACTGAGAGCACTTACATAGCCAATCACCCTTGTAGAAGTGTTCATAACTTGCCCATTGTGTAAAGTTGGTTTTTGGTGACCAAGTATATCTTCCTCCTCCTACTCTGTGAAGTATAACTTCTCTTCCTCCAACTTTGTAACACCCTATTGTGATAGTGATCAATAAGCATATGATTATTTTTCTCATAACTTCAATTTTCAGTATAAATCTCCTATTGAAGTGAAAAAAATCCCAACTGTGAAATAAAACAAAACGAATTCTACAAAATTTATGGGTAGACTTGAATAAACAACTCCAAGTCATAGAAGATTTATGGAATGATTTTGGATTTTGGAATGAAAAAAACAGGGTTAGTGGAAAATTTCATGTAGTTGAATCATCCCGAAGGTGTGATGAAAATTGAAGGCATATTTGTATGTCTCTACCTGTTTGGCTCGTCTTGTTTCAATAATCATAGTATTCTTTTAATTATTTTAGACCTTAAAAGGAAAAAGACTTAAATCAATATCTTGATTTGGCCAAAAGTTTCAAAAATCACACATAGCTCACAAATTTTGCCGGACTCAACCAATGATGGCTCATCAATTCTACGTTAGTTCAAAAGCTATACGTTTTGATTTGATCAACAAAATTTCTAATAAAACAAGAATCTCATTTTACTCTAAGAAGTTAGGACCACGACACTAAACAAGAATAAACTCTTGTTTCATACAAGAATGTGGTGAATTTGCTACCAAAAAATAAAATCGGTCAAGAGAAGGCAGTCAGATTTTAAATACTATAATTTAAAATTAGAATGGATAAAGAAAAATCTAAGTTTATACTAATATTTTTTAAAGTTAAAAAATTAGAGTTAAATTATATTTACAATCTTTAAATTTGAATTTAAAATTAAAATTCGTTTATTTTAAATTTTGATATATTTTAATCTCAAACTTTTAAAATAAATAAATATATAATCATCTTAATTCAAAAACGTTAATTTATTTTTTTATAAAAAATATTTTAAGTTAGCATAAAACTATTACTTAAACGTAAAAAAGACAACGGTTTAATAGATGTGATTTAATAGTTATCAAAACCCACGTTGTGTTGATGATTTATACCACAGTTTTTAAAATATTGCCTTAAGATTGCGTGGGCAAAAAAGTATATAACATGGCCAACCAACATATAAACGATACACTTAAAATAATCAAGGTATAAACGTATAATGATATACACTTAAAAAATCAATGTTAAAATATGTTTTTCATTTTCTTTTTTTTTTCATTCATTTTTGGAAACTTTGTCTTATTTAAATCTCTCTTCTTTTAGAAAATCATAAATTTAGTTTCTCCTAATCATTGTCGGTGACAAATAATATACTAAATCACACAAATTTTGTGTCAGTGAACAATATTCCTCGATATAAAAAACACTATCGCTGTGTGTTTGTTTGGAGGGAAAATACTATTCACGTAAATTAACGATGATGGATTACGAAAAGCAACGTTGTTCGTTTTGGTGGATTTGCGCCGATTTGGTGAGACGGATATCCGCTAATTTGCGGGATTGCACTGTTAAGCTCATCTCGCAAATATGGAAAGATTTGCGATGATTTACGAGAGAAAGACTGATATATCCATCTTTGCTTCCATACATCAGCCAAAAATATAAGCCAAAAATAACGATTATGCACATTAATAACTGGTTACAACAGAGTGTAACCGGTTAAAGAGAAGAATAAATTTTTGCTTGCACACGCGTTACTGGTTACGCAATATATATTTTTCAGTTTTTTTTATAATTATTTTAATATTATAATTTAAAAAGATGTACATCTTAATAAAATTAGGTATATTATATTTTCTAATTTATTAAAACTAAGTTGATTATTTAATTTTTATAATTTTTAAACATTAATTTTATAAATTATTCATAATTTTTTTTTCTTTATAAACATTTTTAAAATTAAATATAACATATTATATTACTTTTATAAATAGGAGCATTTTGGTAATCTTTAATTTCTACCAATTAAACTAATTTTTAAAATCTATCACATCAATCAAATCCTACACTCATTTTCACAAACTTTACTTACAAACTTTACTTCCAAATCTACTCTCAATTACCCACAAATTCACTCAAAAAAATAACTAAAAAATTACCCTCAAATTCACTCAAATTCATTCAAATTATTTCTCCAAAATTATCTCTCGCAAATCTATTCCAAAGAACACGGTCTATGTGATCACGTCCTCAAACCCGAAAAAGTTGACAAGATAACTTAATGATAATCCCTGTGCCACGTTCCTGGCTAAGTAAGGTCGGCAGAATCCATCCTTGATATCAACCCAGCATCAAGGTTAAACTGTTGCTGTGATGTTAACGTCACGTCAGTAGACTGTTCTACCACCCTGCACCATTTCTTATAACAGTACTCTTAGCCAAAATTTAAACATAAATTATAATTGTTCCAAGTTGTGAAAATTTATGATAGTTCACAGAAGCTTCGAAAGATTCAAGCCAACTATATATATCTTAAGGAAAATGTTTGTTCGACAACAATATTTTGCCAACTTTTTGACAACGCCACGTGGCATTGTTTCATTGATTGGTTTTAAAAGGCTTTTTTAAAAGGTAGAATTTGTTCAGAAGGGCAATTTTGGAATGAATTTGGATAGAAACTCCTTTTAGCAGTTTATTTTTTCAGATTCACTTGCAGTTTGGTTTTCTCAACTCTCTCTCCACCATTGAAGCTTCCATCTCTCTCCACCATTGAAGCATCCATCTCTCTCCACCGTTTGGGTTCTCTTCGTTCCTCGCTTTTCTTCACCACCGTTGAAATGTTGTTTCTCTCTCCCTTTTGAGTTTGAGTTCGACTTTTCTTACTTCGTTTCTTGGGTCATTTGGTCATTGTCGAGGATTTTGTCTCTCTCTCAATTTCCCCATTTTTTGATGCTGTGACTGTGGGCTCGTTGGCGGTATATATCCCTCATTTTGGAATTTTGTTGATTTTGGCGTGCATTGTCGTTGGCGACATTTTCGTGGTTATGTAAGTCTTTGGCTTTTGTCTCCATTGTGGTTGGCGATATTTCTCCCAGTTTTGGGTTTTCTCCACACACCCGTAGAGTTGGTATCACAAGGTTTGGGCTTTTTCGCACCACCATTGATTCATTACGCAAACTTCACATTAGAAGTTGTAGAAACCATCAACCATGACCAACAAGGGTCCTTCATTCATAAAATCTTAAAAACACTCATAACAAACACAAAACAATCATGGTGGAGCGGCGGTTGTCACACCTGGGTAGGCACATATCAAGCTTTCATACAAGAACTGCAAATTTTAACCTGGTAACGATTACAACCTTTCTTAATACAGCGATTACAAGTGCATGTCTCCAGTGTGTATGGTGCCAGGACCTAACCTGCGTTGCTAAGACCACCCAGGATGGGTCTTCCCTACACAGAAGACTTACTAAACTTCACACTACAAGTTGTGAAAACCATCAACCATGACCACAAGGGTCCTCCATTGACAATATCTTAAAAGAACACTCACACAACAAACAAAAAACAATCATGGGGAGCGCAATTGTCACATTTGGGGTACGCATATCACTTTCAGTACAAAACTGACAATTTAACCTGGTAATCGATTACAACTTCTCTGTAACGTCGATTACTAAGTACATTGTCAGTGTGTATGGTGTCGGAATCATGTTAAGTCATTGATTGTTGAGAAAAAGGAAAAATTCAACACAAATAGAGATGGGGAGCAGTGTTCATATAGCGGGGGAGTACAGTTGAAGTTTCCCCCCCTGGTAACATACTACCCTTTTTCCCTCTGGTAACGATATGGGTCCTTGTAATCGATTAACCAGAGAAAAAGGTAATTTACAAAAACTTCAACTGTACTCCCACCTAGATGAACACTGCTCCCCAACTCTGTTTTTTGAAACTTTGCTACTTTTTTGTTCTTACTTTCCTCCCCGAACTCCAAATGACTTGATTCTTGTTTTGTTGGAATCTAGATCAAAGAGCTTTCCAACAAAACAAGAATCACTCATTTGGAGTTCGAATGGAGAATGTTCTGAGGAAAACAACACCAGCAAGAGTCGCTAGGTGGTAGAAATATATAAACGTTAACTTTAAGGATTAACTGCATCCTCTCAGATGTCCAAAAATTATAATTAGTATTCATTGAAAGATATTTTGAGTCTACTTCAATAAAAAAGATCAACATCATTTGGAGGTCTGTGGCAAACAGTATGACAAAACACCAGTCAAAGGTCAGAGGTGGGTAGAAATATATAAAACGTTAACTTAAGGAATAACTGGCAACCATTCAGTGTCCAAAAATTATAAATTAGTATTCATTGGAAGATATTTGAGTCTACTTTCTAATAAAAAAAGAATCACACTCATTTGGAGGTCTGTGGATAAAAGTTATGATTAAAATAGTCAGCCAAGGTCCAAGTTGACAGCATGGGTTATGCCACCTCACCTCAATTGGAGAAACCACGAACCAGGTAGTTCAAGTTCATGACAGTTTTTGCACACCTTAAGGAAGAAGTTATTAACTTCTGCATCAATTTGATCGACAACCCTCGTCTTAAATTACATTTCATTGTATACTGTTATGTATCTTTTCATTTCAAAACTTGTTGTTTCGTGAAATGTCATTACGTTTTTTATTAATGTATGTGCTTTTTAATATTGTTATAATTTTTCATTACTCAATACCCTTCATTATTTCGTTTATATTTGTTTAATATTGAAGTATCCAACTTGAAGTTTCCATTAATGCCCCATCCATAAAACCCTCAAAAGACCGTCATACGAATCCAAAATATTACTGGTGAGTGCTTAAGCCACGTCTGGTATCACTCTATAACTTTCGGTAGCAAAGGAGATTTTTCTACTGGTAAGCGATACCAACTCCCTAGTATCGATTACACCACATCAGTTCTTTGTCAATGTGGCAGGAACCACCTCTCAACCCATAAACACCTTACTTGGTCTTTCAATGATGACAACAACAACTGCAAAAATGGAGGAGGGAGAACACTGCTATGAAAGAGAAAGTTGAACTGAAATCAATCCCTAAATGGGAGAGAAGACATGGAACAGGAGAGAAAAGATAGAGTTTCGAAAACGAGAGGGCAGTTTCGGAATCAAACTTCACCCCATTTTTTTCCCCCCTAAATCAGATTTTAAATTAAAAAAAACATTCAAATTCGACCAATTAAAACTTGACACGTGGCGTTGTCAAATCTTTGTCAAATTGGCGTTGTTGGAATATCGCGATCCATATCTTAATAATTTCTAACTCCATTTCTTTGTTTTCTACCCTGTTCTCTATCATCAAAATTACAGAATAAGTAATATATATATTATATATATAAACTTTAAATATATATATATATTATTCATTAATATAAATTCTTTTATCTAATTATCAACTCACGTCCTTACTAATAATCTCTAATATATCCATTTTCTCTCTTCGCTCCTTCCCACTTTTCTATCCTTACTCCCCCCCCTCTCTCTTTATTCATTCTCCCCCCCTCTCTTCTCTCTCCTCTCCTTCTTTCTTCTCCTTCCTCTTCTTTCCTCTCTCTCTCTCTCTCCTTCTCTCCTTGTCCCTCCCTTCTTTTTCTCCCTCTCTCCTCTTCCATCCTTTTTTGCTCTTTTTGCATCTTCTTCCTCTCCTCCTCCCCCTCGGCTTTTCATTTCCGTCTCTCTCTCCTCCTCTTTCTCTCTCCATCCCCTTCCCCCTACCGTCTCTTCCTCTTTTCCTCTTCCTTCCCTCCTTCCTCCTCTCTCCCCCTCTATCCCTTCTTTCTCTCTCTTATCTTTCTCTCCTCTTCTCTCTTTCCGCTTCCTCTCTCATAGCTCTCTTCTCTCTCCTCTTTTTCTCCTTCCTCTTCTCTCCATCCTCCTCCCCCTTTCCCTCTCTTTCTCCTCCCCTTCCTCTCCCCCTCTCTTCCTCTCCTCTCTCCCTCTCTCTCCCCCTCCCCCCTTCCTCCTCCCTCTCCTCCCTCTCCTCCCCTTCTCTCATCTCATAATCTTCTATCCCTCCCCTAGTTTCGCCTTTCTCCCTCTCCTCTCCTTCTCTCTCCTCTTCCCCTCTTCATCTCTCCTTTTCTCTCTCCCTCTGCCTCCTTTTTCCTCTCTATTCTCCCTCTTCTCTCTCCTCTTTTTCTCCTATTCCCCTTCTCCTCTCCCTTCTTCTCGCTCCTCATCCTTCTCTTCTGTTCTTCTCCTCTCTCTCCCTTTGCTTTTCGTTTTTCCCTCCCTTCCCCTCCTCTTCTTTCTTCTCTTTTCTCATCCTCCTCTCTCCTCCCTCCTCCTCCTCCCTTCCTTCCTTCTCCTCCCTCATCTCCCCCCCTTCTTTATATCTACTCCCTCTCTCTCTCTCTCTCCTCTCCTCTTAGTCCTCCCCTTCCATCTCTCCTCTTCCTCTCCTCTCCTCTTTCTCCTCTCTCCTTTCTTCTTCTCACCCCCTCCCCATCAGCTATACTCCCCCTCTCCCCTCTCCCACTCTACCTCCTCCCTCTCTTCCTCTCCCCTCTCTCTCTCTCTACTTCTCTTTTTCTCCTTCCTTTCCTCTCTTTCCTTCTTTTCCCTGCCCTCGCTACCTCCCTCATTTACACTTCCCTCTCCTCCCTCCTTTCCCTCCTCCCCCTCCTCTCTATCCTCTTCTTTTTCTCCGCCCTTTTCCTTCCTTTTTCTCTCATCTCTCTCTCTCGCTCTTCTCTCTTCCTTCTCCTCCTCTCCTTCTCTCTTCTCCTCTTTTTCCCCTTTCTTTCCCTCTTCCTCTGTTCTCCCTCCTTCTTCCGCTCCTCTTCTCCCTCTTCTTCTTCTCCTCTCATTTCTCTCTCTCTCTCTTTCTTTTCCTCCCTCCCCTCCCTTCTCTCTCCTTTTTCCCCTTTCTCTCTCCTCTCATCTCTCCCTTTTTCTTCCTCCCGTCTTCCTCTCTCTCTCTTCCTTCCATTCTCTTTCTCTCATCTCTTCGCTCTCTTCTCCTTCTCCCTCTCCTTCTTCTCTCTTCCTCTTCTCCGCTTCCCTACTCCTCTCTCCTCTTCACTCCCTCCCCTCTTCCCCCCCCCTCTCTTCTCTCCCTCCTCTCCCTCCCCCTCTCTCTCCTTTACTCCTTCTCCCTTTTTCCCCTTAAAGCTCCTCTCTCCTCTCCCCCTTCTTTCCCCCTCTCTTATCTCTTTCTTCCTCACCTCCCCCCTCCCTCCCATCCTCCTCTCTCATCATCTCCTCTTCTCTCCATCCCCCTTTCCCTTCCTCTCTCCTCTTCCCCCTTTACAAAATCTCTTCCCCTCTCCTCTCTCTCTTCTCCTCTCCTCCCTCATTCCTCTCTTCCTCTTCTCCCTTTTCTCTCCTCTTCCTTTCCTCCTTCCTTTCTTTCCCTTTATCTCTCTCTCCCCTCTCTTCTTCTCCCCCTCCCTTCCTCTCTCTCCTTTCCTTTACTCCTTTCCTTTCTCCTCCCTCCTTCCCCCTTTTTCCTATCCTCTCCTTCTCTCACTCCTTCTTAACTCTTCTCCTCTTCTTTTCTCTTTTTCCTCTCCTTTTCCTCCCCATCTCTTTCTCTTCATATTTCTATCTTCTCTCCTCCCCTTCTCTCCTCCTCCTTCCCTCCTCCTTCTTCTCTTTACCATCCTTCTTTCTCTCCCCCCTCTTTCCCTTCCGCCCTTCCCCCACTCCCCTCCTCCTCGCTCCTTCCCTTCCATCCTCCTTCCCTCCTTCCTTCTTCTCCTCTCTCCTCCTTCCCCCATCTCATGCCCTCTCTGCTTCTCTATCTACCTTTCTCCTCTGTCCCTTCCCTCTCCCCCTCTTCTGCTTCCTTCTCCTTTTCCCTCTCCCTCCTTCTGCTCCTTTTTCTCCTCCCTCCCTTTTCTCCTCTCTCTCCCTCTCCTTCCCTCCGCCTCTCTTCTCTCCTTCTCCTCTATTCCCCCCTCTCTTCCCCTCTCCTTTCCCTCTCTCTCTCCTCTCTCTCTTAGCTTCTCGCCCCCTCCTCCCATTCTCTCCATCTTCTCTCTTCTCTTTCTTCTTCTCCTTTTATCTTCTCCCCCTCCTTATCTGTTCCCTCCTCCTCTCCCCCCTCTCTCCATCCTCTTCCCCCTTCTCTTCCTCTCTTCCTCTTTCTCTTTCCTCTCCTCTTCCTCTCCTCCTCACCTCCTTCCTTCCGTCCTTCTCTTTCTTTCCCTCTCCTCTCGCCTCTCTTCTTCTTCTCCTCTCCTCTTTTCTTCTTCCTCTCTCCCCCTTTTCCTCCTCCGCCTTCTTTCTTTCTCTCCTTCAACTCCTCTCCTCCCCTTCTCTTCCTCCTCTTCTTTCCATTCTTTCCTTTCTCACTCTTTCTCCTCTCTCCTCCTCCCTCATCCCCCTCTTTCTTTCGCTTCCCCCTCCTTGTCTTCCTCTTCTCTTCTCTCTATCTTCTCCTCCTCTTCTCTTTCCTGCTTCCTCCTCCCCTTCTTTTCCTTCTTCTTCCCTGTCTCACTCCCCTTCCTCCTCTTCTCTCCTTTCTCTCTCTTCTCTTCTCTCTCGCTCTTCCCTTTTTCCTCTCTCACCCTTTCCCCTCTCTCTATCTTCCCCATCTCTCTCTCTTCATCTCTCTTCTCTCTCTCCCCCTCTCCTCTCCCTCAACAAAATCTTTCCTTCCCCTCTCTCTCCCCTCCCTTTTCTCCTTCCTCTCTCTCTACTCCCTCCTCCCTTCTGTCCTTCTTTCTTCCTCTTTATCTCTCTCCTCCATTCCCTCTTCTTCCTCTTCTCCGCCTCTCTCCTCTCCTTCTCTCCTTTCCTTCTCTTCTTCTCCTTCCTCTTCCTTCTCCCCCCCTCTTCTCTTCTCTTTCCCTCCTTTCCCCCTCTCTCTCCTTCTTCTCCCTCTCTTTCCCCTCCTTCCTCTCGCTCCTCCTCTTCCTCCTTCCTTTCCCCTCTCTCATCTCCTCTCATCCTCTCTCTCTCCCTTTCCTCCTCTCTCTTCTCTCCTCTCTTCTCTCTCTTTCTCTTCCCTCTTGCCTCTCCTCTCTCCCTCTCCCTCTCTCCTTCCCTCTCTCCTCTCCTTTTCTCTCCTCCCTTCTCCTTTCCTCCTCACTCACTCTTCCTCCCTTCCCATCTCTCTTCTTCTTTCCTCCTCCTTTCTCTTCCCCTCTCCCTCCTCCCTCTCTTTCCCTCCCTCCCCTTCTCCATTCCTCTCTCCTCTCCTCTTCTCATTCTCTCATTCTCTCTCTCTCCCCCGCTCCCCTTCCCTCTCTCCTTCTCTTCCCCCTCTTCTCCTCTTTCTCTCCTTCTCCTCTTCTTTTTCTCTCCTTCCCTCTCTCCCTCTCTCCCTACCTCTCCTGTCCTCATTCCCTTCTTTCACCTCCTTCCTCTCTCCTCTCTTCCTCCTTCACCTTCCCTTCCTACCTCTCCCCTCTTTTTCTCTTCTTTCCTTCGCTTCTCCTCTCCCGCTCTCTATTCCTCTCTCTCTTCTTTCCTCCCCTCTCTCTTCCCTTCTCTTCCTTTCCTCTCTCTCCTTCCTTTTCTCCCCTTCTTTTCCTCCTCTCTTCTCTCTTCTCCGCTCCCCCCTCCTCTCCCTCCTTCCCTCCCTCCCTCCTCCCTTCCCTTCTTTTGTTCTCCTCCTTCCTCTCCTTCTCCGCTCCTACCGCCTCTCTCTCCTCCCTCCTTTCCTCTCTCCCTCCTCCATCTCTTCCCCCCCCCTCTCTATCTCTCTCTCTACTCTCCCTTCTCCTCTTCTCTCTCATTCTCCTCCCTTCTCTTCCCTCTTCTCTCCTCCCCTTTCTACTCTATCGCTCTCCTCTTCCTCTCTCCCTTCTTTTCTCTCCTTCTCCTCCTTCTCTCTTCGTCCGTCTTCCTTTCCAATTCCTCCTCTTCTCCTCCCCCTCCTCTTTTCTTCTTCCCTCTTCCCCTCTTCCCCTCCTTCCTACCTCCTCCTCTCTTCTCTCTCTTCTCCCTCACCCTCTCCTCTTCTCCCTTTCCTCCCCTCTTCTCCGCTTCTCCCTTTTCTCCTCCCTCCTCTTCTCTTCTTCTTCCTTCTTCTTTCCCTCTCTTCTCCCCCCTTTCCTCCTCTCTTTCCCTCTTCCCCTCTTTTTCTCTTCCCTCATCCTTCCTTCCTTCTTTTTTCCTTCCCTCTCCCCTTCTCCCCTCCTCTCCTCTTCTCTATCCTCCCTATGCCTCCTTCTCCCGCTACTCTTCTCTCTTGCTCCCCTCCACTCCTCTCCCTCTCCCCTTTTCCTCCTCTTTCTCCTCTCTCTTCTCTCTCTCTCTCTTCCTCCATCCCTCCTTTCTCTCCTCTCCCGCTCTCTTTACCGTCCTCTCCTCTCTTCTCTCCTTCCTTCCCTTCTCCCTCTTCTCCGCTCCATTCTCCCTCCCCCCTCTCCTCCGTTCTCCTCTCTACCCTCTCCTCCTCTCTTCTCTTTCGCATTGCCTCTCTCTCCTCTCTCTTCCTCTTCTTAATCCTCTTCCTCTCATCCTGTCTCTCTCCCTTCTCCTCTCCTCCTCCCTTTCCCCTCCCTTCTTTCCACTCCCCTCTCTCCTTCCTTTCTTCTCCCTTTCTCGCTCCTCTCTCTTCTCCTTCTCCTTCTTCTTCTCCTTTCTCATCTCTCTCCTCTTCCTCTTCTTCTCCTTCTCTTCTCTCTCCTCCTCTCCCCTTTTTTATCTCTTGACCCCTTATTCTATCTCTCTTCTCTCCCTTCCTCCTCTCTGCTCCTCTCTTTCCTCTCTCTCCTTCCTTTCCTCGTCCTTTCTCCTCTTCCTTTCTTCCCTCTCCTTCTCTCTTTCTCCCCCCCCGACAATCTCTCCTCTCTCTCCCTCTCCCCTCGTTCCTCTCTCTTTCCCCTCCTCTTCCTCGCTTTCCTTTCTCCCCCTCTCCCTTTCTCTTCTCACCTTCCTCCTCTTCCTCTTTTTCTCCTCCGCTCTTTGTCTCCCCCCTCTCTCCTACTCCTCCCCCCCTCTCCTCTTCTTCCTTCCTCTTCTTCTCCTCCCTCCCGTCCTCCTCTCCCCTCTCTCCTCCCTTCATCCTTCCCTCCATTTTTCCCTTTTTCCTTCCTCCTATCTCTTCCCTCTCTCCCCTCCTCTCCTCTCCTCTCTTCCCTCCTATCTCCTCCTCTCCCCTTCTCCTTTTCCCTCCCTCCTCCTCCTCTATTCTCTCTTCTCCTCCCCCGCTTCCTCTTCACTCCTCCTCTCCTCGCTCTTCCTGCTCTCTTCTCCCTCATCCTTCTTTTCCTTCTTCTTCTTTCTCCCTCTCCCTCTCCCTCTCCTTCCTCTCTTCATTTTCTTTTTCTTTCATCCTCATCTCCCTCTTTCCTTCTCTCTCTCATCCTCGTCTTTTCCTTCTCTCTTCTCTTCTTCTCACTCCCTCTCTCTCTTCTCTCCTCCCCTTCCTTTCCTCCTTTCACTCTATCTTTCTCTTCTCTTCTTTTCTCTTCTCTTCTCCTCCCCTTTGCTTTTCCTCTCTTCCCCTCTTTTATTCCCTCCCTCCTTTCCTCCTCTCTCTCCTTCCTTCTTTTCCTCCTACTATCTTCATTCTCCCCCCTACCCTCTCTTTTCTGCCTCCTTATTTCCTCCTTCCCTTTTCCTCTCTCTACTCTCTCTTCTTCTCCTCGTCTCTTCCCCTCTCCTTTCTCTCTTTCTTCTTCTCTTCTTTCTCTCTCTCTCTCTCATTCTCCCTCTCTCCCTCTTCTTCTCCTTCTCTCCTCTCCCCTCTACTTCTTCCTCCCCCCTTTCTCCCCCCTCCTCTCCTTCCTATTCCTCCCCTTTTTTCTCTCTCTCCTCCTTCTTCCCCCTCATCCTCTTCCCTTCCCTTTCCTTCCTTCTCTCCCTCTTCATCCCCTCTCTCTCTCTCTCTCTCTCCCTTTTTCTCCTCTCCTTCTTCTTCTCTTCATCCTCTTCTTCTTCCCTCTCCTCTCTCTTCCGCGTCTCTTTTCTCTTCCACTTCGGTCCCTTCTCCTCCTTCTCTCTCTTTCCCATCCCTCCCTCCTTCCTCTTCCCTCCTCTCTTCTTCTGCTCTCTCCCTATCTCTTCCTTTCCCTCTTCCCTGTCCCTCTTCCTCAACCTCCCCATCCTCTCTTCCCCCTCCTTCTCCTCTCTCCCTTCATCACTCTCTCCTCTTCCTCCCCTCACCTCTCTCTTCCCTTCCTTCCTCCTCTCTCTCCTTTCTCCCTACTCTTCTTCCTGTTCCCCTTTTGATTCTCTTACTTCTCCCTTTTCTCTTCTTTCCTTTCTCTCATCTCCTCCCCTCCCCCCCTCTCTTCCCCCTCCTTTCTTCTTCTCTTCCCTCTCCTCCCTTCTTCCTTCTTCTCCTCTCCTCCTCCCTTCCTCTCCTCCTCCGCCTTCTCCTTCCCTTCCTTCCTTTCCTCTCTCTCTCCTCTCCTTCGTCTTCACCCCTCTCTATCCTCCTTCTCTTCTCATCTCCTCGCTTCCCTCTTTCTACCTTTTCTCCCTCCTCTTCCTCCCTCTCTAACTTCTCTCCTTTCCTTCTCTCCTCCCTTCTCTCTCCCCCTTTACTCCCCCCCCTTTATTCCCTCTCTCTTCCTACTCTCCTCCTCTTCCCCCCTCCTTCAGTCTCTCCTTGTCCTTTCCTCTTCCCGCTCCTTCCCCACTCCCCTTTCTCATCTCTCTCTTTTCTTCTCATCTTCCCTTTCTCTCTCTCCTTTCCCTTCTTTCTCCATTCTCCCCCTTTTTCTCCCTTTCTTCCTCTTTTTCCCTCTTACTCCTCCCTACCTTTTCCTTCTCCCCTTCTTCTCTCCCCTCTCTCTTCTCTCTGCCTTCTTCCCTCCCTCCTCTCTCTCTCTTCCCCCTCTCTTTGTTCCCCCCCTCTCTCTCCTCTTTTCCTTCTCTCCTCTCTTCTCTCTCTCCCCCCCCCCCCCCCCCCCCCCCCCCCCCCCCCTCCCTCCTCCGTCTCCCCTTCTCACTTCTCCTCCTCTCTTCTCCTTCTTCTTCCTTCTTCCTAGTCTTTCTCTCCTCTCTTCTTCTTTTTCTCTCTCTTCTTCCTTTCCTTCTTCCCCTTCTATCTTCTCCCTCTATCTCTCCCTCCTCCTTCTTTCTCTCTTCCTCCCTCCTCTCCCCTTCCCTCTTCCTCCTCCTTCCCCCTCCCTCTCTTTCTACTCCTCTCTCCTTCTCTCTCCTCATTTCCCTCTCACTCTCTCTCTCCCATCCTCCCCCCCTCCTTATTCTATCTCTCCCGTCTCTCTCTCTCCTATCCTACCTTCTCTGCCTCCTCCATTTTTTCTTCCTTCTCTCCCTCTCCTCCTCCCTTCTTCTCTCCTTCTCTCCCTTTACTCCTCCTTCCCTTACATTCCCTTCTTCCTCCCTATTCTCCTCTCTCTTCCCTTCTCTCTCTCTCTCCTTCCTTCTTCCTCCCGTCCCTTCCTCCTCTCTTCCTCTCTCCCCTCCTCTTTCCCCTCTCTTCCCTTCCCCTCTCTCTTCTCTCTTCCTCCTCTCTTATCTCCTCTCTTCTATCTCTTCTTTCTCTTTCTATCTCTTCTCCCTCCCCCTTACCTCTCTCTTTCCTCTCTCTCTCCTCTTCTCCCTTCCCTTTCCGTTTCCTCCTCTCTCTCTCTCCTCTCCCTCTTTCACCTTGCTTCTTCTCCTTATCTCTCTCTCCTCCCTCCCTCCCTCCCTCTCTTCCTCCTCTTCTCACCTTCCACTCTCCTCTCTCTCCTCTTCTCTTCTCCTTCTTCTCCCTCCTCTTCCCCTCTTCCCCTCCCCTCTCCTCCCTCTCCCACCCCCCCCTTTCCTCTCTCTCCCTCTCTCTCTCCTCTTCCCCTCTCTTTTTCTCTTTTCCTTTTCTACTCTCCTCCTGCTCTCGTTCTCCCTCCTCTCTCTTTTCTCTCCTCCTCCCTCTCTCCTCCCTCCTTTTTCTCCTCTCTGCTTCCTCCTCTCCTTCTTTTCTCACCTCTCTCCTCTCCTCTCCCCACTTTCTTCTCCTCTTTTCCCCTCTTCGTTTCTCTTTATCTTCTCTTCCCTCTCTTTCCTGTCTTCTACCTATCCTCTCTTCTCCTTTCCTCCCCCTCTCCGCTTTCTTACTCTCTCCTCTCATCTCTCTCTCCTCTCTCTCCGCTCTCCTCTCTCTCTCTCTCGCTCTCTCTCTCTCTCTCTCCTCTCTCTCTATTTGGTGGCCCTCTATCTTCTCCCTCCCACGCTCCACTCTTCGTCGTTTTCAGTTCTTGTTGAAGTTAAAGAAATACAAGTACACCAACCCACAAAAGACAGAGTCCAGCATCCTCAAGCTTTAATAACCGGCTGGACAATTTATTGGCACTGCACTATTGATAAGTATACCAACCCCACCAAAGTCTTAAAATTTAATTTTACAAAACGTGATCTAAAAGTTATCCATTATTTATATGCTTAATATAAAGATATTTTTATGTGAAATTTTCAAACTAAAACTACCTGCCTAAACACGTCAACATATTTAAAAAAAAAAAAGGAACGATTTTCAACCTTCATTATTTTCCTATTCAATTTCATTGTTCAAATTAAACAAACCATTAACCTTTCTTTCTTATAATTATGTTGTCTAGAATTTATTTATTTATTTATTTAATCTATTATTCTATCTGCTATAATCTAAATTTAAAGTAGAGCTCGTCATAAATTTTACAATTTTGGTATGTACTTAAGAACAACAGGGACACATAAAGCAGATGAGAAAAGATTGGTCTAAAGGTGTGGGAGCATGGCCGCCGCCCCAGCATACGAAGAAGACCTCCCTGCAGCACCGAGCTGGCTGAACAAAGGTGACAACGCGTGGCAGCTAACAGCAGCAACTCTGGTGGGTCTTCAAAGCATGCCAGGCCTAGTCATTCTCTACGCAAGCATAGTAAAGAAAAAATGGGCAGTGAACTCTGCTTTCATGGCTCTCTACGCCTTTGCAGCAGTCCTAATATGTTGGGTCCTCCTGTGCTACCGCATGGCCTTCGGGGACAAACTCTTTCCCTTCTGGGGCAAGGGTGCCCCTGCGCTGGGCCAAAAGTTTCTCATAAACCAGGCCAAGGTCCCTGAGACAACCCACCACTTCAAGAATGGAACCGTTGAAAGCAAGATGTCAGAGCCCTTCTTCGTCATGGCTTCTCTTGTCTACTTCCAGTTCACTTTTGCTGCCATCACTCTTATCTTGTTGGCTGGCTCTGTTCTTGGGAGGATCAACATTAGGGCTTGGATGGCTTTTGTGCCTCTTTGGCTGATTTTCTCTTACACTGTTGGCGCTTTTAGTCTCTGGGGTGGTGGCTTTCTCTACCATTGGGGGGTCATTGATTACTCTGGAGGCTATGTTATTCATCTTTCTTCTGGAATTGCTGGCTTCACTGCTGCTTACTGGGTATATAACACCTCTTCTTTTCCCTTCATTCTCTACCTCTTTTCTTGTCATCATTCGTGTTAAGAATTTTTTTTTTACTATATTTACACGCGAAATTAGAATATAAATTTTGATATATTTTAATTTTTAAGTTTTAAAAATAGATATAATTTTTTAATATATGTTATTTTTTTTTTCTGGTGTTAAATGATTTTTAAATTAATATTTAAATTATTTACCTTAACATATTTTAATTTAAATAACAATCTAAAATATTATTTAATATAAAAAAATTAAATTTATTAAATTAAAAGAATTATATTTATTATTTTTAAAATTTGAAGAATAAAATATATTAAAGTTTAAAAAACGAATTTTAATATAGATCCTGAAAATATATTTATCCGGTTATCATACTTATGCTGAATATTTACCAATTTTACTTTTACACTTAATATTTGAAAGATAATTTCACTTGTTATGTTTACTGAAATAACTTTTGGCACTATTAGTTGATTCATGCTGTGCTTGACATCAAAGCTAGTTGAAATTCAGTACTTGAAACTGACTTTATGGTTGACTTGATATTTCTAAAACTTTTATATATTTTAGTTTTAAAATTAAAAAATGAACAAGTCTTTCCAACTTAATTATATTAAATTCATATTGATGTTAAATGCATTTTTTAATTGATATTCAAAATGATCATATATTAAACTGTGTAAATAACTTAAAATATTATTATAAAATGTGTTCAATACGTAAAAATAACTTGACGTAATTGGATTGAAAATATTATATTTATTTTTAAAGTTTAGAAATCAAAATATATTAAAGTTAAAAAAAATGAAATTTAATTTAAATTTCGTATGAAAATTAAAAACTAACATATTTAATCATATATTTTAATTAATTTAAAGTTTAACCTTGAAACTGTACCGTAATAACATTTAATAATATGTTATTTGACACATCTTCAACGAGTTTGTTTAACTTTAAAATAAGTGATTTTGGCATATGTAATTTAAAAAAAAACACTAATGTAAAAGAAAGATATAATTTGTTTATAAAATTAAATTGAAGATTACTTAAAATAAACAGATGAAGAAACACATTAAATAAGAGTTGCTTTGAAGTAGGCGTGGTTAAAAGAAGAGGGTATCTGAGTTGTTGTTTGTGTTTTAATTGTGAATTGCACGAGTGTGTGTTGATGAGAATTGAATTGAAAATGCTGAGAGAAAAGTTGGATGAAGGTTGGGCCAAGGTTGAAGAGTGACAGGGAGAGGTTTCCACCAAACAATGTGCTGCTGATGCTAACGGGTGGTGGGTTGCTGTGGATGGGATGGTCAGGGTTCAATGGTGGAGCACCTTATGCAGCCAACGTTGACGCCTCCATTGCTGTTCTCAACACTAACATTTGTGCAGCCACTAGCCTCCTTGTTTGGACCTCTCTCGATGTCATCTTTTTCTCCAAACCATCTGTCATTGGAGCTGTTCAGGGCATGATTACTGGACTCGTTTGCATCACCCCAGGAGCAGGTATATTTCTATTCATTTCTTAACATGCTTATTTTCATCCTTATAACTCATTCTCCTCCTGTTTTATCCAACAGTTAAGAAACACTTCAATATTTTGATCCATGAGATATTTGGAGTTTAACCCTTTTGAAAAAAATACCTATTTAATTTTTTCACTATATATAGAAAAACAGTCCAATCATATTATCTATAAAATTTTCTTAAGCTTCTAATAATTCTTTTACCAAAACCCTAGTAATATAGTTAAAATGAACTCATTGAAATTATTACTTCACTAGTTCTTTATAAATGATTTATTTTTTGAAAAAAATTATGTTTATTTCACTTGTCAACATTTATTCTTTTCTTAAAAAAAACATTAAGAACGAATGTAAATATATTCTCTATTAAATATTATACTGTTATATTATATTCATTTTCTTAAGAAATTAATAATTGAATGTAATAATAAAATATGTATTATTACTGTAGAAGACCCTAACAAATTATAAAAGTTTATACCTGATAGTGGATTTTTTTTTCTCACACTGAAAGACATATTTTGACATATAATGACAATTTAATTTGTGCATGGAGTATATAATTTTAATTTATTTCATTTTAGTCTTTATTTTTGACAGGTTCTTTTAATCTCTTAAAAATTACTAATGTTTACTTCTTCGTTATTGATTTTTGTTTGTTAAGATAACCTCTATTTAATAATAATATGAATTACAAACAATAATATTTCCTGACACATGTTACTTCAAAATCGTTATGATATAATATTTCTAAATACATGTCACACCCGTTGAAAAACAAATTACGAAGTCGAAAAACAAATTACGAAGTCTAAACAGTGACATAATCTTCAGACAGAAAAGGTGACACAATCAAAGTAAACAAAAAGAAAGTATGAATAGCTAAATATTTAATTATACATTGACTAAATCATATTAAAGTGCTTAATTACATCACCAATGTGCATGTATTGGCATTTGTTGACATTAATTGATACCCAAGTGAGAATGAAAATTTGCAGGGCTTGTGCAATCTTGGGCAGCTATAGTGATGGGAATACTTTCAGGAAGCATCCCATGGATGACTATGATGATCCTCCACAAAAAGTCAAGCTTTCTCCAGAAGGTTCTGTTTCTTTTCTATGTCAAAATATCACAAACACTTAGCAATAGTATTTTTTCACCATAGAAAATAATAAACATCCCTAAAATAAATAATGATTGTAAGAAAAATGAGAAAATTGATATGTAATCAATATAGTGTTAATTAATAAACAATTTTTATTACAATATAAGCTAAAATGTATTAAAAACTAAAAAAACACATAAGAGTGAAATTGAATAATAACTAAGAATTGAAACTAACAACTTATTTTTTAATATATTTCAGTCAACAGTGAAGAATATGATATTTTACTTTCTTATTTGATTTTTCATTTGATAAATTGTGGAATAAAAAGAAAGAAAAGAAGAAGAGAAGAAGAAAAACAAAATAGAGAAAGACCATGATAGTTTTAACAAGCATCTTAGTAGAGAAGATGAAATGAAATAAATATTTTATTCGTGTGATTTTTGTTTAATCAAATAAAATATATTTGAAATAATATTTAAAAGTGTTATAAGTTGCAATATGATTTGATAAGTTCCTATGCTTTGTTTAGTTAATTGTTATCCAATAACTTTTTTGTCTGGTTGGCTTTTGCTTAGGTTTTCATTAATACTCATTCAATAACGTTACAAAGTTTGTAAGGATAGGGAGAAATTCACATGTAATCTTTTGATTAATTATTTTCCCCCAAAAGAAAAGGTTTAGGTTGGTTTTGAGAGAAAAACACAAATGAGATTGATGAATTAATTCTCATATCTTATGATTTCTCTTTCAGAAAGAAGAAATCTAAAACAAATGGAACTCAAGGTTTCAAGTTTTGGTTGTATATAAATTTATCTTGAACAAAGAAATCTTCAAACATCATGTCAAATCAATAGTTTTCATATTATTTGTCCGAAGACATTTAGGTCTCAAAAGATATTATTAATCTAATTCAAGTTTCATAATAATCCTTGGATGTCCTTGTCATGAAATAAATTTCCTCAGCACTCTTTTAATCATAGCAATAACAACAACATCTCTTTTCAAACAACTCAAACCAGTTGTGATATTTTATATTATATACTTTTCCCTTTTTAATAGTATCATAT